GTCGTTCTGCGTTTAGGCGAGTGCAACGTCTTTATTATTTCTTCACGCCATGTTCGTATAGTGGGTTCTACGTCAGAAACACAAAAGTTTCCCTCTTTACTTGAGCGAAAGTCTGATCTTGGTAAAGCTACTTCCAAGGGTTCATTTCCGCTTTCAATAACGTATCATATCCGTACTTCTAGACGCTTTCCGTTTTTCCCGCGATAGAATTACTTCACCAACAGATTATTTGGTGTAGTTTTTATAGATTAATGGATTGAATTTGAGGTTAATTGCAGCAATGTTATCTTTGAAAGAAAAAAAGGCATTGTCTTAGTGCAAGATCTTGCGCAGTTCTTCAGAGAAAAACAAAAATTTATTCATTGTCCTCACCACCCATTCCTTATCAACGAATAGTTTCTGCCATTTTTGTCTTGATGATAGTTAGAATGAGAAATGCTGAGGTTGTCCGATAAGAGTTCCATATCGAATTGGTGGGAACAAACACTTTTGACGGCGATATTGAATCGTTGATAAGAACATACTTATAACGGTGAGAGCTTTCTCTACAAAGTGCTGCTTGAACCATCAAGTCTCTCTTTCACATGTGTATTTTACTCTAGCAGAATGGCCAGTCATTATCATCGCCTGACCAGTGGAACGCCCACTGTGCCCATTTCACTGCTCGGTTACAAGTCGGTAACCCGGGCTTAACCCTTGGCTGCCCCTCAGGAGCAGGCATATTTGTTTTAAAAAAATCAGCGGGAAATAAAAAAGGGGATAAGGTTTGGATCGTGTTAATCAGCGAGATATCATCACCTTACTTTCTTAAAAGGTTTAAATAGTAAAGCACTTAAGTTGGCTGAGCAGTGAGAATGAGAAGTAACAGACTACTCAAGTCATATGTACTTTTTACAGCAAGTTATTCGTCTACGACAACCAGTAGGACTTGCTTCATGGGAATTCAAAGCTGAAAATATTTTGCTTGAAGCCGTTGTTGCTGTTTTCGCCGTTGGGGATGTTCGAAAGGGAAAAATTTATGTTAAGGGCCATGAGCCTATTGTTGTCGCTGTAAAGACGGTAAAATGAAATATGACTCAATATATCACGATCAATTAGTTTTAACCTAGGTTCCCGGCAGAACAGTCGAGGCCAAACAAAAAGTTGTGGATTTGATGCGAGAGTGTCGCCTGCTGAGAGAATTGAGTCATCCTTGCGTTACTCAATTTTACGGGGTTTGCCTTATGGCACAGCCACATTGCTTCATTCTTGAATATGTTCCAGGCACGAATAAAATCTCTATAACGTTTTTTTA